GCCCTTATAGTGGGGCTACAGCACTATCTGCCTGTGCTGTTCAACTGTTTACCTTTGCATAGACTTGTATCTCTTATAGAAAGATGATGTCGTCGAGATCACCATTGGCGAATCTCGAGCGAGATGAAGTAGAGTAGAGCTTCTTGGAAATAGTGTTGGTTGCTAGTAACACTCTAGCTTAGTAAAGGTAAAATACTGTTTTACTGTTAAGCTATTTCCAAGAAGTGATCTTTCTCCATGTTTTCTGGGATTGATTCAACTTCAAAGGATATAGTGAAGGGGGTGACCATATAGATCAGTTAAACTCCCCATGTATGTAACTAGAGAATAGATATAGATATCCCCTATCAACTAGATTGGGATAAACGACTAATTTGTATCGAGGTGTCTGTAATACAACCTCCAACACTCAGAGGATACCCAGAACAGGCTTGACACGGCGGCGGAACGACGTGAACAGAACAACACTCGTCTCCTAACGGCGACCGAAGCAAGCCTAGAGCTACTGGAAGCAGAGATAGCCGCAGTCACTAATGACCCGACTCTCGGTAGCTTACGCACAGTAACGATAGAAAAAGCAAAACTCGTTAATGAAATAGCCGACCTTACTGCAGCCATAGCAGACCCACCGGAAGAGGAACTCCGGGGACTTGAGAAAACAGAGTATGGAGGACTCATGAAGACCCACCTTACGAGGTTGGCAAAACTACAAGAAAATAGAGGCAAAGCATTCAACTTGATCCTAGGGCAGTGCACCCGACTATTAAAGGACAAGATGAAGCAGAACACGGACTACGATGACGTCCTGCTAAGATGCGACCCACTGGAGCTACGAAAAATGATCCATAAGACGATCATGGCCCAGACCGATGATAATTTTGTGTACCACACACTATTCCAACTGGAAAAACAACTGTTGAATTTCCACCAAGGGAGCCTTACTGCTTCCGAATACCACGAGCAATTTAGCACGAAAAAGGACATTGCAAAATCCGTGGGTATTTCCAAGCTACACGACGCAGCCCTGCTGCATACAGCTAAACTACTCCACCCAGGCACCGAATACGCCGACCTGGGAGTCGCAGACCAGAGGAAAGTCTCGGCATACGCTGAAGAACGGTACTATAGCTACATCTTCTTAACCAATAGTTCAGCCGAGAACACCAAACTTAAACAGAACCTGAGGGACGACTTTGCCAAAGGCACTGATAACTATCCAAATACGTTACATGACGTATTACATCTCTTGGACAAACACACCAAGAGTAACACTCCACGACAGTCCACTTCCCATGGAAGCTCCTTTGCTCAGACAGCACAAGGCGGGAGAGGACGGGGTGGTGGCAGAGGAAAAGGCCGCGGAAACGCAGGCTATGACAAAGAATTCTGGAAAGACAAAGAATGCTTTAACTGCCACGAGAAAGGACATCCAGCCACGTACTGTCCTGACAAAAATAAAGATAAAGATAAAGACGACGACGACAAGTCGAAGTCGAGCAAGCGTAGCAAGTCAAGCACGTCGAGCAAGAAAAGCTCTAGTAGCAGCCAAAGGAAGACCTTAGCTGCTATCAGCAAAATCAACAAACTGCAGGGTAAAATGCAGAGCGCACTGACAACCCTGGAGGAAGAACATGATGATGCCGATTCTGACATCACGGAGTCAGATTCAGAGAAAGAAGAGAAAGGTTTCTTTATGTTCGTACCGCTGTTCGTGGACGGAACGAAGAAACGCACGACTCAGCAAGGTATAGTCGCCCACACAAAAGGATTGGACGACAAAGATATGAGAGAGGTCCAGCTACTGGCCAACCAGTCCACGTTGGATTTATTCTGTAATAAAGCATGGTTACCGATATCAGGAAAGCCGATCGTTCCATTACAGTTAAGAGTACCGGAGGCAAGCTGAAGGTCCAGCACACAGCCAAGCTAGCTGGCCACAAACAGAGAGTATGGTTCGATGAAAGAGGAATCACGAACATCTTATCTGTTAGGAATGTCCGCAAGAATTGCAACATCGTCTACGACTGTCCGAAAGGAACGTACACAGTCATTAGACCAGGCCTACCGGACGTAGTATATGAAATGAACAGTGAAGGATTACACGGAACATGGTTCCGTTGAATCATCATCCTGGCCTAATCCTCAGACGGAGATCTCTCCATCCGAATGATTGAAGTTGAATTTGGCAAGCGCCTTGTCAACGGCAGCCATTTTCTTGTCCATCATGTTGATGGATCCAACAGAGGAGTCGTCCTCGTTGTCGGAGTTGTCTGACTTGCGCTTGGCAACATGGTTGCATTCGCTTTTCTTCTTGCGATCAGCCTGACCCAGCGTTGGAAACTTCTTCATGAGGACAGAGAGTTCCTTCTTGGTGTAGGTCTTGGCGTCGTCGGACTTGCGTTTCAAGTCTTGTTCTTGTTGTAGCTGGCTTGTTATCGTTGTCAGAGAGGATGAGACTTGGCCTTGAGCTTCTTCAGAGTCATGCAGTCAGCAGTGTTGTGATGCTGGACTCGTGTGAGTCGCACCATTTTTCTTCGTTCTTGAAGATTGGTCGTTGTTGACAGTAGACTTGTACTTCTTGCTGTTGTTCTCTTCGTAGGAGCTTTTGGCATCACTGCCCTTGTAAGTCTTCGGAGGATTCCATGCGTTCGCAGAATCAAATGGTTTCTCCGATAGGAGCTGAGAAAGGTCGAAGTCGTGTTCGTCCATCTTCTTCACCACGAGCGTGGAATTCCAATGACAAACAATGTCAATGACTTCGTCATGGTTCAACGTTTGGTTGGGTCCAAAAGGTGCTAGACGAGGAAGTTCATCGGTGTTTCATCCGACTGAGGTTGTTGTCATAAGCCCGAGTAGCATTATCAGCAGGCTTACGCATCTTGCGGCCATGAAGGTTTCTGCTTTTCAAGAGCCTTGAGGGACAGACCGCTTCGATACAGGATTTATGCCAAACGTAATGTCAGCATCATCCAAAGCAGCTGAGCTGTCCGTTCCAGCAGCCTGGAAACGTGCTTGGAAAGTGGCTTCGTCTTCACCACAACGTAGTCGCGTGGAGAACCGTTGACTGCAATCTGGGCAAGGCATTCCAATACTTCACGGTGGCCTGCACAGATAGTTTCGTAATTGCTCTTTGCAGAGCTAGAGTCATTTCCTTGAGGAGGTATGTTTGTCGTAGGCGTAGCAATGGCGAGCCAACGAAGACCTTCTTCATCGTCCACCCACTTGATGGTCTGACGTGGAGTCTCAGTCCATTGATGATTTGGACCTTGAAGGTGTACTTGGCGCTGTTAGCATCTGCTGGAACAGTGCGAGTTTGTAGGGGTAGAGCGAGAATCGTCGATTTCGCATTCATCGTCGAGGTGATGGAGGAAGGATTGGTTTGTCGCGCAGCTTAGACTCGAAGCTGGTGTATGCGTCTTTGGCAATCTTAATGGTGAGGAATAGGTTGAGGGTAACTGAAAGCTATTGTGTTTGTTAACAAAATGCACTACGCTAAAAGCTAGTGTAAAGATCTTTCGAGTGTTTTGAGTTTGAGAGAATGAAAGTTATGAGAGATTAGAAGCTATGAAAAACTAATCAACGAGAGAGATCCACAATCAAAGGATCGTAGATCTGAACTCCGCGGAGACTGTAGAGTGTGATAGAGTAGGTTGCGGTAGCAATCCTACTCACTCACGATCCAAAAACGGAACGTGGAAGATTCGTCTAACATTTATCTAGTAGCGTGGAAGTATCCACGCTGGTAAATATCTAAGCGATGTTTATCATCAACTAGTATGACTAGAGTCATTGAGAACCCTGTCTCAATGACTATTCACGAGAGACTCAGCAAGTCATGAGTCGAACTCAAACCCTATCTAGGATCGAGTCGCGAATAAGGCTAAGAGCCGTGTATTGCAGTGTCGACAGAAGCAGTGCTACTCTCCTGCATAATCGACGCTGAAGAGGAAAGGGATGTGGCAGTAATTGACATCCCGAACGCCTTCATCCAGACACGAGTCAAGGATGAAAAAGATATGGTAATCATTAGAGTAAGAGGAGTACTAGTAGACATGCTGTGTGAAATAGCCCCAGATGTCTACAAACCGTTCGTGACAACGGATAAGAAAGGCAACAAGCAGTTGCTACTGCAATGCTTGAATGCCATCTACGGTACCATGGTAGCTAGCCTACTATACTACCGTAAGTTCCGGAAGACGATGCTCCGGAACGGATTTAAGATTAATCCTTACGACCCATGTGTAGCCAACAGAATGGTACACGGCAAGCAACAGACAGTCTGCTGGCATGTAGACGACTGTAAGCTTAGCCACAAGGACTCGAAGGTTAACGACCAGCTGATCCAAGTGCTTCGTGATGAATACGAAAGCATATTCGAGGACGGCACTGGAGAGATGACGGTGAGCCGCGGAAAGGTCCACACGTATCTCGGCATGACCATAGACTTCACGACGAAGGGTCAATGCAATGTATCAATGTACAAGTACGTTGATGAAATCCTGGAAGCCTTCGAGAAGGCATCACCAGAGGAAGGGGGCACGAAGACTAGAAGTAGTGCAGCCCCGAAAGACCTATTCACAGTAGACGAATCCTGCAAGAAGCTCCCAACGAGCAAAGCAGACACCTTTCACAGCCTGGTGGCTAAGGTGTTGTTCGCTACGAAGAGAGCCCGACCAGACACAGGTACGGCGATATCGTTCCTCACGACTAGAGTCAAGGAACCGGATAGGCAGGATTGGGATAAACTAGTCCACCTCATGCAGTACATTAGGCGTACTAGAAAACTACCATTAGTTCTCAAAGCCGACGGAAGTGGCATATTGAAGAAATGGTATGTTGATGGTTCTTTCGCAGTCCATCCAAACATGAGGGGTCATACCGGAGGCGGTTTGACCATGGGCACCGGTTACCCATTATCGACTTCAACGAAACAGAAGTTGAACACGAGAAGCTCGACTGAGAGTGAACTCGTATCAGTTGATGACCTGATGCCATCGATCCTTTGGACGAGGCAGTTCCGTGGGGAGCAAGGCTATGTAGTTAAAGAAACTATAGTCTATCAGGACAACAAGAGTGCCATACTTCTAGAGAAGAACGGCAAAGCTTCTAGTAGTAAACGAACGAAGCACATCAACATTAGGTACTTCTTTGTGAGCGACAGAGTCGCAAAGAAGGAGATCAGTGTGGACTGGTGTCCAACTGATGATATGGTTGCGGACTTCTGGACGAAGCCGAACCAAGGTCGACTGTTCAAACAGAATGTGGACAAGTTGATGGGTGTTGTGGAACACTCAGAGCCAGGGCACTCAGTAGGAGGGTCACGGCCGGACAAGAAGGTCCGTTCAAAGAAGGAGCGCTAAGCGGAGTAAGTAAGTAAGCATGGTCGACGACTAGGACAAGCTCGACGACCACAGGAGTGTGTTGGGGATTCGCGATTAGGGATTCAACCTGTACCTCTGTACTAGAATTTGATGCCAGTAGCAAAACTGGTAGCCCACCCACTTTTTCAGTAGTACGAGCAGCTTCGATTTTATTGATGCAAACGCGTGCCGACCTTCATGGTACACATCTACTCGAGCTCTCGTAGAAGTGTTAGAGAAAACCTGGCACGCGTTTAATCTTTAAAACCGAAGCTGCCTGTATCTCAATAGCAAGTAAACTATAAGAGAGCTTAGTGCAACTAACACCGGTACGGTCCAGCACCAACCAACCTCACCAATTGAAAAGTAGCACTGTAATTCTTGTTAGACTTATTGCTTCTTTGACTGAATGAATGATGCATCAACCGTGACGGAGGACGAGGCAAATAGTTCCCGCATTTTCAGCCGCAGATTGATAGATACTTCCATTGCAGCCACAAAATCATATGGCGTAACGATCGACAAACCGGTCCGGCTTGCTCCTCTTCCTGCGCCCGCTCCTCGAAGGTGTGGACTTGTCATCGACTCTTTCGTTGCTTGCAACGTCAGCATCAGACGGCTGTGTGTGTGAATCCGGTGTGACTTCAGAAGATGGTGTTCCTGTTTCCATGACGCCATCGGCCTTCTCCTTGGGTTGTTCCTTGCTTTCGGCTTCCGACACCGTTTCGGGCTTGCCGTCTACACTCTTGCCGTTTGTCGTTTCTTTCGTTGCCGTTGTTGGCGGTTTCAGATGCACAATAATAACCTCATCGGTATCGCTTGATTCGTCCTGATTCTTTCTGGGCCTTCCTCGCTTCTTTGGAGCAGGTTCTGAAGCTTCCTTCGACGATTCTGGGCCTTCGTTCGAATCCTCGAGAGGTCGCTTCCTCGGGCGTCCTCGCTTCTTCTTGTCTTCGCCGCCGCTTTTTGCAACAGTCTTCTGCTTGGATGAAGGCTTCTTCGACTTGCTCTGGAGAAGACGTAGCAATTGGTTCGGCGTCAAATCTTCTTCATCGTCATCTGAATATTTGACTCTGTAGTACTGGTGATCCTCAGTTGGCAACTGAATAACTCTTCCTTCAAAGGTGCCGTGTCCTCGAAACTTCTTCTCGAACACCGTCCCAACGGGGATTATTCCGTCCTCGGCTCTTGTTTCTTGCTCCACCTCCTTCGATGGCTCTTCCTTCTCTTTCGCCTCCTCTTTGGCTTCAGGCTTTTTCTCAGTCGCCTCGTCTTTCGATTCAGGGTTGACCTCCGCCTTGGCATTTGATTTGGCTTCAGAAACCTCCTCAGACCTACTTTTTCGGTGGTGCCCGGTGCGGAGATAGAAGAGTTGATCCAACCGTGCTGCCAATTTCGTGGCCTTGGCGTCGTCAAACGGAACCAACGGGGGCATAACAAAAGCAGGGTTGGCAGGGGCATGGCAGGAAGACTGTACCAGAGGAGCCGAGGCTTCAGAGTCACTCGTTTTCGCCTCAGACGGCACAATCTCTCGCGAATCCTGGCTCAAAACATCAGGTTTGCTGTGACCAGAAACCTCAGCCTTTGAATCAAATTGACCGCTCTTATTCGTGCCAGACCTCAACGAGTCATCTACCTCGCCGATACTGTCGCCACTTCGCTTGCCGATGCACTTGTCGCAAAACCAATCCCCCTCTGGCACTTCGGTCATTGTTGTGCATTTCACATGGACGACAGTCGGACAGCCTTCCGTGTCACAGCATATCATACCCCCGTCAAGGCCACAAACAACACAGAAAGCGTACTTTCCGTCTGAAGGATCTACAGGGAAGTTCTCGTCCATGAAAACGTCACTAAGACGTGCAGGAGCATCACGGTAGAGCGTAGCCGATGTGAGAATTTGCTTCGCTTCTGCTTGCAGAGCCTGAGCTTCCTGATACTTTTTGCGGTTGAAGAATCTGTCCTTAACGTCCTTAACAACCTCGTCTTCTGGCTTAGTAGTTTCCTTTTGAATAGCCGTGCTCACATCCTTGGCAACACTTTGTTCCTGCGCAGGAACGCTCGAATCCGCATCGTTTTTCTCTCCCTCCTTGTTCTCTGGCACATGATCTCCAGTCGCAGCGCTCTTCGTCGGTTCTTGCTTTGCTTCAGCCCCCTCGTGCTCCGAAGCACTCTTCGTGGGTTCAGACTTTGGCCCCGATGATGCCTCCTGGCTCTCACTGCTTGTGTTGGCTTTGGACAATGAAGTAGTCTCATCTGCTGGTTTCTCTGCGACACCGCCGATATGGTTCTCTTGCGTCGTGTTTGTGCTTGTAGCGCCAGTAGTAGCGAAGAGGTGTACAGCAGCACTACCTGGGGGCGGTGGCTCATGCAGCAGAGTTCTCAATAGAGCATCAAGACCGCCAGCATCACGAAGGCATGCTGCCAAGTCGAAGTCGACATTGGAGTGGGCCTTGATCACTGCGATTCAAAGCAGGCGAGAACAATGTTAGAAGAGTGGAGCAAACAGAATTACATCTATTTTGGTCACGACTTGTCTCGAAACTTACCTCTACATGACACAAAGCTTTTCCTCGCTAAAGAGCACCTTGCACATGGGTTGTTCCTGTTCTCTCTACCAAAACAGAGCCGAGACAGCGCACTATCGTTCTCAAAGTCGCCAATTTCAAACGTAACTGAGTCTCGAGCGAGGGCGGGTGCTGCACTGCTTCTTGAGACTTTGCCTTTTGTTCCGTTTTCGAGACCAGAGGAGATTGGTGCTTCCGCAGCCACCGACTTCACGACAGCTGTTGATGAAGAAGCAGGTTGTGGTTTTTCGCTTGTTGACGGCGTCGGAACAGACGGTTCAGCCGCTGCGGGCTTCGTGTCTTCCTTTGCTGTTGCTGATGACACCGCAACTGGGACATAGGGCACCGGGACCACTGGAGTCTTTTCCCGCTCGACAGGCTTGCCGGCAACAAGGAATTTTACGTTTACCTTCGGACGATGTTGCGGTAGAAGAGGGTATCTGTTGTCGCATATGTCACGCTTAATGGCATCAAGCAATCCAAGGAGATCTTTTCGAGCCTTAGCAGCCTCCACGTGGTGACGTGAGCTGATAATCATTTCCGAGCGCAATTGTTGTCGAGACACCTTGAGATTCTTGAGCCCAACCAGGTGGCTGACATGCGTCACCTCGGACACACAAACCAACGCAGTCGCGTACAACAATCGAATTTTTCCGCATCGCTCGAGCAGCTCACTTTCCTCATCAGTCAGGACCTTTCGACCATTCGGCTTTGGTTGTTTCTCTTCAGTTTCATTGCTTGCCGTTTGAACGTCGTTTGCCTTTTTGGGGTTCTTGCCCTTTTGTCCGTTGGTTTTTTGACTCGAGGCTGCCTTTTTGGGGCTCTTCTCCTTTTGCGCAATATTTTGGGTGGCGGCATTGGTTTTGCTGCCTTTGCCACCATTCTTGGTGTTTCCTCTTTCATCGTGCTTCCTCGACGAGAGGACAGTGCAAATTTTCTTGATTGATATGGGGTTCTTCTTCCGTTTTGCTGGATGCGCCAAAACACACAAAATCGACGTAGTGTATGCTTCTAGAATGTCGCTCTCGATGGCTTCTTTTTGTCGGTAGCACCCATTTCGTATTCTCAAGGAGATAAGTTCCAGCGACAGCTTTGGACAGGGCGAAACGGAAGCCTCCAGGGATCCAATTGCGGTCTTTTTCGTCCCAGGCTCTTCAGCCTTTAGAACCATCCAAGGAGGGAGAAAATTTGACTCGAGTAGTGTCGAAACCGATTTATTGCTCACGCCCTTCACGTCAATGACGCCTTCATTTAAATTGCCGGAGGATTCAGCCACAAAGGCGGTCTCGAATGTGGGAATCGGTTTATGGCAAGCCTTGAAGACTCGGGGCATAAACCCTTGTTTGATTCTTTCCGTGGTAAGGTCTGGATCCAAGAAGGGGGCGTTATCAACGCATCTTAGCTTCAGCAAGTCAAACGATCGTCCAATTGTGTATTTCTCGTCATCTTTCATTCCCGACGGCCTAGACGCTCGAAACGGAAGGATATCCGCTAACTGTTTCCCAAAGTGGTCGCACCACGAAGGGCACAAGAACGAAGTTGAATATCGAACCCCACAAAATTTGCAGGTTCCAGAGGTGTTGGCTTCTCCCCCGTCATTTTTGCACAGGAACATGCATGGCCGCCAGTAAACTATTGCGGTGCCATTCGCGTCGGGAAACCTCAACCCAATAGCCAGCAGCGCTGCTTCTGTATCAAAGCAACCTTCAGCGTCCTTGGGTGGTTTGTTGGGAAATTCGTATTGTACGCTGACAATCGTCGCTGCCACCCACTCAGACGGCTCATTCAACTTCCTCTCGGTTTCGCTTTGGATTCCTGGAGCTTGATCGCCATTTGAAGCCGATGGTGGTATCTGACGCTGATTTGCCACGAGCGAGTCGTAGTGAGCTTGCACAAATTTCAAGTGGAGCTCTCGAGCGTATAACACAGTATCACCTGTCTGGGGCACCCATTGAGAGAAGCAACCGCGCCCAGATTGACATGAGACATCGGGGGTCGTGGCTTGCAGCCAATCACGATAGAGTGGACCCTTGTAGGGAAACATGAATGGGTCAAGTGGTTTGTTTTGTGCTTTCTCTTTCTCTTGGTCGGCACCCGCATTTGAAGCTACTACAGAGGCAAGAAATTTCCTCTTCTCATTTTCGGCGTGCAGCTTCTCACGTTGTTCCTTTAGATGTCCATCCAGTACAGAAGAGAGAAGCTTTTTCACTGCAGGGACAACTTCATTTGCAGCTTGCACAACCACAGAATCAGGCGTGTTGTACAGGCTGCAATTGTCCTGTATGGCAGTGATGTCTGCCATGACAGCTTCGAAGCTTCGATAGTAGCACTTGGAATCTTCTTCGGAAGTTCCATTCTGCTTCTGCTGCTTGAGACGGGTCAGGATACGCGAGAACGAAACAGTAATCGGCACAGCACAACCGTACGCAGGCGCAATGTCTTCGGTGACCTGATCTTTAAACCATTCTGCCGAGTCGGGTTCACCGTTTGCCTTCAGTTTGTCTTCAATGGTGCATTCAATTTTCATGCGCAGCACGTTGTCGAGTGTCACTGGAAGACCCAAATTCAGAAATTCCTTTAAGCTCCCCTGCGCCAGGCTTTGATTCCTCTTGGAACCAGTTGTCTTCACGTCCCACGGATGTGCCCAAGATGTTCTTCTGTCGTAAACGGAAGCTTGCAAAGACACGCCATTCCATAAAGGAAAAGTTGACCGAATCAAGTTAACGAAGTCAATGTTATGTGCAAGGTCTGCAACCTGCCCCACATTCGAAAGCTTCAATAGATTGGCCAGAAATTGCCCAATAACAACAGTATCATGCGGCGGTAGTGTCGGGCCAAGACGACCTTTCGTTTTCCCGCCATTTGAAGCTGCGACGTTGTCGGTTCCACGTCTTTGCATTATTTCGGTAAAGACATGAGATTTGTCTTCAACCCGAAAAGATCCATAGTCTCCGTCGAGAGTATCAAAACCAGCGATCTTTCCTTTTTGCTCTTCCTCTTTGGTACTCTGTACCGAGACGGTATCATTGATTGTCAAAAAATGGTTCCTAATGTAGGTCCATGCAAACGGTACTATGAATGGTGACAGTGATGGCGCTGGAAAAGTGACAACTGTGAAAGTCACAGAAGGAGTTGGCAGAGATTCTTTATCGGTTGGACCGTTGTCCGTCCATGACGGAGGCAGCACTGGTGTCAAGGGGCGTAGCGTTACTGCAAGCCGAAGGAAAGCATGCTTCTTTGCATTCTTCTTCGCCTTGGTTTTTGGTTGAGCGGTTGTCTCTGTCCACGTGTTGCTGCCCTTGTCGGCTACCATGTTTGTGGGGTCCGGTGGAAACTCAGCTTGGGTTTTGTCGACTCGACACAAAATAGGGTAATGTCCTAGTTTTCCATTCGTCGGGTCAACCCCTTCTATCCATTCATCGTTCCACCATCTCTTCGACGAGTTTGTTGTCGACTTTGCTGACGGCTCGTTGTCGTTTTCCTTTCCATCGGCAGCTTTCTTTGACTTTCGTTGCTCTTTCTCCGCCCGTTCCCACAGAGGTGCCCTAGAAATCAATTTCTTCCCCAGATAGTCCGGAAACTCTTTGACAAATTCACGGTGGCCGGCAGGGTAGTAGAGGACTGTGTCGCCTGGTTGGGGGACGTACGCCGAGAGATCAAAGCGTTTGCTCGCGGCATCTTTCTCCAGCCAAGCGCGGTTCAGAGTTTCACAAAATGATGGTGAGATCCACTGACCGACGTTAAGTTTGTTTTCTTTCTTCTGCTTTGTTTTCCCATTATCAGAAGCTCCTGGTTGTTGGTTTCCTTCGAAGGATTTTGATGCCAAGTCGGACTCTGTTTGAGACAGCAAAGCTTGCGCCGTAGCATTTGAAATGGCCACTGCTGACTCTGACGACAATGAATCCTTTTCCGTGGACGCCCCTGTGTTGGATCCTCCCTTTTGTTTCTTTGGCTGAAGTTCAGGAGGAGCATCCTCACTAACTCGTTTGCTTCGGCGCGGTGGTGGAGGGTCTTTGGGCGCTCGTTCCAACAGACATGCATTGAGTCTCCGTATGGTTTCCTAATAGACAGATGAAAGTCTCAGACTAGGCTCAAGAACACCAAGGAGGTCTCACAACGACGAATTCATTGTACATACCTTGACGGCCTTTGGGTAGGCACATCGTGCCTCCAGAATCTTGAACTTATTCTCGCTTTCGAGACGTCTAGCTTCAATCTCAACCCTCGTTTCATGACTCTACATTCAGGAAAACAAGCAACAAGCATCATTTGCCATGAATGAGACAACCAAGTGGATTGCATTAAGTCAAAATTGGCGGAACTTGCAACGAGCATGCACTCACCCCTCGAACGCCATCGTAAAGCCGAATCTTGCCACTTATTTCTGGCGCCCGTCGATCCAACTCCTGGAGAAATTCTTTGCCAGAAGTCCCAAAAATTTGTCGTTCTTCCTCCATTTCTTTGCGTTGCCTCTCGGCCTCCACAAACTTTTGGTCCTTCTTTTCTTCGATTGCAGCCTTTTTCTGCCAGAATCGACACTCTGTTTCTGCAAATCTCAGATTCTTCTCTCCATCTTTGAATACTCTCCGTTTGTGTGTGCTGATGGCTTGAAACTCATCGTAGACGAACCTCGCCATTCTAGTGGATTCTTTGGGTTGTCGCTTCGCCCTTCGTTTCTTGGGCCCATCTTCCCTTTTTTCCGGTTTTGGTTTCGATGGATTGTCGCCTTCCAATAATGTTCGCAGTGGTTGTTCTGCATAGCTGACTGCCCCTGTTGATCTTTTGCTTCTTCGTTTGGGTTCGGCGTTGGCTGCATCAGACCCCACGCTCGTCCGTCTTCGCTTTCGATGAGAGGTTTGCTTCTTCCCCAGGACACCCCCCTCATCCTTGCTTTGAAGCCCAAGCTGAGCAAGCACGGCCTCGTTCCTTTTGATGTTCTCTCTTCTGCGTCGTTCAATTTCTGGCACTGCATCATCTTCATCGTCTTCGCTGCCACTGCTACTCGAAGAGTCAGATTCATCTCCTCCCCCATCATCGCCGTCAGCACTGATGTTGTCGTCTTCTGATTCGTAATTCTTTTCTATTCCTTTTTCTCCGTCTTCGGAGGGGGCGGCTGATCCTTCTCCTGGGCCAACAGAATCAGCTTCATCCTCTGGGGATGCCACTTCGTCTGCTTGGTCTGAGTCTGCCATTTTCTTTCGTCCTCGATCGAAGGGCAACGCTCACAGCCTCGAGCACGAGAGCGTGCAACCCTTTATCGCCTTCCACTTGCTTGGTTCTTCCAATGGGTCAGGCTGTCGTCCTGGTTCCAACATACGGTGACAGGGCTCCGAGAGAGCAAAGCAATGAGGGCGGGGCAATGCTCTCCGATCGTTCCACGCTGTCCTTTCTTTGTTGTTATTCTTGAGGCTCTCGAAATGCTAGGTTTGGCGCCAAATGCTGCAAATAAATCGAGATTTTGAAAAGTGTTAGGCAAAACATGGCCTTTAAATCTCTGTAGACAATATCGGTACCGGTACAGAGACAACTGCAATGCTGCATGCTCAAGCAGGTACCGGTACCAGTACATACAGTACAGGTTTTACAAGCATTTTTTCCCTTTCCATGTAACGCATGGCGGCGAGCCTGATCCACTCCAAAAAACTGCCCTCACATTTCTCTCCGAAACCATTTCACCTCCCAAGACAATGCACCTCTCATTGGGAAATGATATGGTTTCGATGAGATCAACATGGGATTCTCCCGCACAACAATACCTAACGTTTACAACATATAATAACATCATGACTAGATATAAATCATTCAAATCGTGGGTGGAGCAAACAAGAGGGAAGTTCATTGTGTTACGGATCGATTGAAAATTCAAAGGAGGACCACCATGACGGAAACGCCGCTCAAGAAGAAGGTTGCAAGGGCTGCCGGCATCCATAGTCTAGCAAAGGGAGGTGGCATGAACGTCGTGGAGGCAATGGAGTGGGCTGGAATGAACACACCACAGAGAGACAATCAGAATCTGCGACAGAAGGTTCGCCGTCGATCATTTGCTTTGAAATCTGAAGCAGACGCAGCAAGAGTTGACCATGGTCCATCATCAGCCAAGCCTCCACCTCCTCAACTCTCAGAAAAACAAGAGGGAAGCAGCAGAAAAGTCTCTCAAAGAAAAACTAGCCAAGAAAAGTAGACTGACCGGCCGACAGGCAGCCCAAGTTCGGAAGCAGAAGAAACTTGCAAGGGATGCCAACAACGCTCACTACAAAGCTGCCTCTTTAGAGTGGAAAGAGGAACTCATCAGAGCGGAGGCGGAAGTAACTGATGGATTTGTCTACAAGCCACGATCTGCAGAAACGATTGCCCAGCAGTACAATGCTCAACACGGAACAAAGCTGAATGGCAAAACCATCCGCAATATGATTGACAGAGGAGATGCTGGCAAGAGTCCCAAGCGGCGTGGTCCAAAAGGAAGAATTGATCCGGCTGGATTCATGGCATTGTGTGGAGCTGTAGAGAGTTTCTGCTCCCTCTCTCCAGATGTTGACAAGTCTGGGATCTCGAGATTATTGAATGCTTGTGTCAACATGAAAGAAGGCTTGGGCAAACGACAGGGACACTGGCTGCTTCAAAGAGTGGAAGCAGAGGTTGGAGATTTTCTTGATTGTGGCAAGCCAAACCGGGTGGAGAAAAGGAGAATGAAATGGGCTACGTATTCCAACATCAATCTATGGTATGATTCATTGAAGACACACCTCATCGCCATTGGAGCCGCCATTGAAAACCCAAAAGAAGATTGGCCAACCAAGGGCGAGCTTGCATGGGTTGACGAGACTCAAGGAAGAAGGATTGCAAATATTGATGAGACTGGGCTGACGCTTGATGACACCAAGAGTCAAAAGGGTGGCCGGCCTTCACTCAAGTTCTACAACCCAAGGCTCCAAGCCGAATCCGTCTATGAAGCACACAAGAGCTCCTATCATTGCACTCTTCTTGCTGGCTGTTTTGCCTCCGGAGAAAAACTGGCAGAACACTTCCAAATACCCTCTGATGCACAAGACGAGAAAGATATGGTTGTGCCTGCAGAGTTTGTTGTTGATATGCTACAGACATCCGGCCAGTTTCTGCTAGAGGATGGAATGGTTCGCACAACGTCTGCTTCCTATGGCGCCAACAAGAAAGGAGGAATGAACAAGGAGCAATTCTTCAAGTGGTGTCGAGGCAACTATATTCCATTAGTTATCGAAGATACAGCTGATATTCCTGGAAAACGTTCCACGCTCCTTGTTGACGGTGGACCTGGAAGAACTAATATGGAGATGTTGGTCGAGCTCCGGTCTCTTGGTATCTATCTCTTTCCGTCCGGACCACCAAACACTACGCATATTCTGCAGATAATGGACATGTTGTTTCGGTATTTTAAGATGGTCTTCTTCGATAACCTCCAGCTTCTTTGGGAGTATCGAAAGAACAACAGAGATGAAGCCGACTTGATTACAGGAAATGACATTGGGCTCTTGTGCTACGGCAGTGGTCGACGCCGTGAGAAGGAACCAACCTTTCCTGTTCTTCACAATGCTATTGAAGAGGCATTCTCTATTGCCAGAGCCACCCGAGCGTGGAATGAGAGGCTTGGTGTCTATCCAGAGTTCACTCGAAAGGCTCTTGATGATCCGAAAGTCCGATCAGAGTGTGTTGTTGACTCAGAAGGCAAAGCCGATGACTCCATTGATCCCAACGCTTCATATTTGCAGGAGCTGAATCAACGAAATGAGATGTGCTGCCAGATCATTGATAGCTTCGGCTACAACGGAGACTTGTTGAGATATCGAACTCCAGAGTTCTCACAAGAGAAGCGAGCTGCGGTTGTCACTGCTCCTCGCACAATGGATCGTCAACTAAGCTTGGAGGCAGCTGCGTCTCAAGGGCAAGTGTTCAAGGTCACCGGCGGAGCAGCATTGAACGACGATGACTTCCTCATTGCTAACGAGCGTGCTCAACTGAGGAAGGAGCTCGATGCTTTAGCGAAGCAAAAGAAGGCTCATGTAGCAGCATGGAAGAGGCAACAAAAGGGAATGGCAGTTGTGGAATCAGAGAAGCAACAGAGCGAGCTCACAAGTGATGACCTCAAAGAGTTGATTGCTTGGAAGAGTGGAAAGGCGTGTCCATCAAAACTGTCAAAGAAAGACGACCGAATGGCTCGATGGCTCGAGTTGAAGGATGAGCTGGTTGATGCTATAGATCCATGGCCGGAGGAGAAAGAGCAGCGACTGGAAGCATTGAAAGAGAAGATTGCCTCCGATATAAGATTGGATGAGACTGAGTTTGGTCGTCACAAGGAGGTAGCAGTGGCAAAGGCGAAGTCTTGGATAAAGTCCATGGCGCCACAGGAAAGAGAGGCCTTCCTCCAAAGCCTCCAGGACCAATCAGAGGCAACAACAGAGGATCCAACCGAGTCGGAGCGAGTGGGTGGAGACGATGACACGGAGTGACACTTTTGAGCTCTCTATCACAGTGGCGAATATGGATGGCGACTAGGCCTTGTGGCGCTCTATTATCATGGTAAGTCTGTTCTCTACACTCTCCTGGAAGAGTCTTCTATTGGGTTGTTGCTCATCTGACACTCCATTTTTGCTTTTAACAGTCCCTTGTGGCGCGCCATGGCGCCAAAGCAGTCATTGCGACTATTTTTTCGATTCAAATCTAACAATTTACTAGCATGGAAAAATTACTCACAAAACCTGTACTATGGGGGGTTAGAGTAGGAGGATTATCTACTTGCCTCCGGTGCCACCCAAAGGCTACCAGAGAGTGAAATGCCAATCGGCCAAGCATAACTTGCCAGGGGCCTCCCAGCCATAGATGGAAAACAAGGGCAAGTCGATCATGGAGGAAATTGACAGCATCAGGGTTGTACTAATTGTTGGGGGGTCCAACTGGTAACATGCACAAAAACAGTGGAAGTGGTGCCATGTTCAAACACATCTCGAATGGACAAAACCTCCAAAGGTTTTTCAACAGGATGAACTACGATCGGAATATTGTGAGATTAGACTTAAAACTAGCATTAAAGCGCCATGTCACACACGTGCATATGTCACTCTCCTCCACTGTGAGGCAACACTAGGCGCCGAGCATCAGTAACATTTAGAAAATGAATCAGGGGAACCTCAATAACCAACTGGAGGTACTGGATGCTTTGGAAACACGCGCCGAATGTTCAGGCGCTCGAACTGATGAGGACTGAGCTGAATCGTTACATTGCCATTGGTATGAACGCGGGAAACACGGTAGGGACCAGAAGCCATAGGCTTCAACTTATCACTGAGACCGAGATACGCACGCTTGTAGACCAGATCATCGACTGCGTAGTCATAGGAAATGCGTTTAGCATTGGCCCGCAGCAAACGTTTGTCAACCAGGGATTGACGGTGTCGTTGCACGGCCAGGATGTCTGCATAAATAGGAATATCAAGAAACATATCTCGTTTGAAGGCAAGAGCACCAGGAGTGAGATACGCGTTCGTACTCTGCACGGAACAACGATGAGCATGCATCGCTGTCGCCAAGGTTTCGGAAATGACCTTGATCCCAGCAGCAACACTCTTGGGATCGCGCGAGACCACCATGGTTCGCAATACTTGACCAATTGCCTGATGAGTCCATTCAATCATCGAGTTACCTTGTGGATTACGAGGGGACGAGTAACGATGCACTGCACCATTCTTTTTCACCATCGCAATGAATTCCAGTTTGAACTCCGGACCGTTGTCCGTGACCACTTTCTTGGGTCGGGGATACCGAGCAAACCACGTATCTTCGACCACTCGGGCACCTTCTTCCGACGTGCGTCGCATGATAGGCACAATCTCTAACAAGTTTGTGCAGGGATCCACCATAGTCATAGCGTTGAAAGTCAACGTCCGTTGTCGTAACTCAATCGTCCACGAACCGATTGTGTCACAATGGACTTCCTGCCAGGGCATTGCCGTAGCATCACGTGGAGCAGATTCTCCATAAGCACGTCGTGCTCGTTTGTTCTTCGCACATGCTTCGCACTGCTCAATTTGTTTTCGGACTTCGTCGCGAATACCTCTATGGTAGAAATGTGTCTTGATCGTTTGTTCTAAACGATCCATGCCTTCGACATGTGCCATGGACTTGTGATAGAAGCTGACCAACTTGGGAAGCAACTCTTTTGTCAGGACAATCTTGTCCTCGTCATTCTGACGAAAGCATATCAGCTCACTGTTTCCAAACATCTTCTTGAAAAATCGTTTCAGGTTATCAACCACGGTCTGTTGCAAAACTGCACTAGCTGCTTGGTACTCCGCGAGAACCAAGAAATTGAAGGGATTCCGTCCTTCACCGTCGAATGTAGGATGCTCCAAGAAGGACTTCCATACCGTCGTCTGGATGATGCATCAAACATTCAGCCAACCTTTGATTCTCCTCCACAATGGAATAACATCCATCAGGAGATGTGGAAAGGGGATCGAAATCGGCATTGTCGCGATCTTCGCGAG